ATTTTAACAGCGCTGGCTCGCTGACTGGCATGAAACTCTCTTGGATTGATTGGTTCCTTTCTCAGCTTTCAGTACAGAATCAATTATGGATTCTGGGGATTTCCCAACACCGCCAGAAAGTCATTTGCAGTCGATCACCTCGAAACTGCTTTCGTCGACTCCCCCATAAGTTTTTGGTAAGGAATCAATCCCTCTTAGATTGATTGATCTGAAACCCCCTCAGTTGAACGCCGCCGCAGAACCATTTGCTGTCGACCGTCTCCATCCCACGAGATCCCAAGTTAACGCGTCCCAAAGCTTCTTTAATTTCGTCGAATCTCACAAAGTTTAGTCCCGCCGCGAGACCTTTTCGTCGATTACCTCCGACGAAAACGAGGGAAGTCATTTGTTGACCAAAAAATCGGCTCTCGTGGAGGTATGAAAAATAACGAGGAAGATATTATGGCGAACCCTCTCCCTCCAGGCGCCGACGATCTATTGAATTTAGCAGGGTTAAACTTCCGGCCATCGACGATTCAATTGTGTTTTCTACCGGGAGGTTTCTCCTACGATTTTGTTAATCAGTTGCAAATTAAAAATACATTTTCTTTCTTTTATTTAAATGCACACATGGCAGGTTTTAATTGGCTCGGTGCACCACATAAGGAGTGCTTGCTGGTACAGCGGGCTTACTGAAGTTTTTCTCGTGAGGGCAAGGTGTTAATTAAATTTTTTAATTGACTAATGGTCCAATCAGCAGTTCTGTTTGCCACATCAACGGAAAACTGACGGAGTTAACGGAGTTTAACGGAGACTAACGGCCGGTGACTAACGCTGAAACGATTCGGAAAGTTAGTGGCGAATAAGAAAGAAAAGTAATTCGGGTGATAAACGTGAAAACTTTATGTAATTTGAGTGACCAAACATGTACTTTAGCCGGATGTAAAGTTCTAATTATTCTCTATTTATAAGTTTCAAAAAGATTTCGGGTTCTTCTATTGAGTGGAAATATGGCTTTACATTTTGGGTTGTATGAGTACCAAGCCCACATGATCATACTTTTATATGGTGCAACCAATCAACAATCTATAGAATTTTATATTCCAAATACACCTACGAATAGACATTATTCTACATCATCTTGTATAACCCCGTTTATTATATGTGATATGATTCTTATCATTCAAGTATTTCTGAGGTTGTTTTCTCCATTATCTTAATTTTATAGGGCAATAATTAAAAGAGCTTTTGGTCTAGTGGCCAGAAGGTTTCTGATGAGACATTATAAGTGACAAATGAGTCATTTATGTGATATCTTTATGATACTCTACGATCTTTAATGGTCCGTTTAAATCTTGATTTATGTGATGAGAAGAATAGTAGAACACTAATTAATGAGCCTTTAATCCCATCCTTGCTTTCTAACCGTTGATGGTGCTTTGGATACATAATACAAAGTAATTTAAGTGATTGAACAATATTAGTTCTTGTTATGAGATTATTTTCATTGGATCCTGACTACAATTTCAGTTTATAGTGGCATCATTTCCCGCGCTATGAGCCTTCCCAATCCTAGATTCCTACGTATATTTGTGTTCTTTTGAGAATCTGGAAGTCTTGTCTTAACAGTGGTTTAGATTTTACTCAACCACATGCTCATTCATTATTTGCCTTATACACTCTCTATTTTAGTTTTGCCATCTTCGGTCTCACTTGCTCATGTTGTCCTTCCTCCTCTTTTTGCTCCTGCTCTGTCGCTCCCTGAAGTTCTTATTGTTGATACTATCGGTCATGGTGATTGTTGCTCATCGGGTCTTGTTGTTTGTAGCTCAAACATGCATGTAAGGTTGATCAGGGTCCTCTCCTCATGCCTTATTGTCCTCTTTGATGTAGAGATTTTTGCCAGTTCGTGATGCCAAGTTGGTTACAGTCTCCATTTTGTGACAGTGATCGATTTTTTAGTCTTTAGGGTGGGTCATCAAGTCTGGGCAGCCCATAAAGTTGCACATAAAACTCTGTCGATTTGTTTCTTTCAAGTTATAGTTGTCTATAGTCTAGTTCTTGTATACTTTTATTTTGGAGGGTGTAAGGGGTTGAGGGTGTTCTTTCTTCCCTCATCTATCACTCTCAATTCTCTTTTGGAGGAAGGTAAAGTAACAAGGGATATTTTTCCTAAGATTAAAAGTCTTGAAGGCATGAGATTTTTTCGACCTATATCTTATAGCTTGTTGCAACATACTTTATAAATGCATTGAAAATTATAGCAGTAAGATTAATTTTAGTGTTATCCTCTATCATTAGTGAAACTTAAACAACTTTTGTGAAGGTAGAGTGACAGGTGAGAATATCATCTTAGCTCATGAACTTGTTCACAAATATACTATAAATGATGTTTCTCCTTGTACCATTATCAATGTAGACATGATGAAAGCTTTTGACTTATTAGATTGGAATTTTCCCATCTCAGTGATAACAACTTTGGAGTTTCCTAATTGCTTTGTAGAATGGATAAAACTGTGTATTACAACACCAAAGCTAAGTGAGGGTTCAATGGAGGTATGGTTGGATACTTCTTTGCACATAAAAGTCTAATGCAAAGAAGATCCCAACAAATTATTACTTTTTTGTTATGATAGCCAAACTAGAGACTTATAATTATGCTTGATAGTTAAGTTAGCCTATGATCTCATGAGAGATGACAAATTTTGTGAACCGCGAGTTGTAATTTACTGATTTGTTATCCTTTATAACGTATGAATTTTCTATAAGGGACACAATAGCCTTCAATTGGAGGCAAAACTTTCTAAAATTGATCTCGTGGAGGTAGTTAATTCAAAAAACTATCAAGCTCTAATTAGTCACTAAACATGTGTTGACTCCAGCTGTGAAGTCAATCGTTACATGTGTGTTGTATTAAGAATGTGATATTTTATCTATGTTTTGTGAATATATCAGAATTAGATGAAAGTACTTATCTTCTTGATATACAAAGGTTTTAGAGAGAGGATGAAAAGGCTTGTTGAAAACACGTTAATGGCTCTAACAACAAAGCAATTACCACTCAATTTGGCAATAAATGGTACAATTAGAAGGGTGCAAGTGGATGTGAAAATGTTAAGGAAAGGAAATTAAGAAGGGTGTAATTGAGGTGTAAATAGTTGTTTGAAAGACAAAATAGAAGTGTATGAAATGGATGCAAAACAGAAATACTAATATAATTATAGTTATATTAATAAAAGGATAAAAAAAACTAACCCTCCCACATTTCGACTCTCCTCGACCCCTCCTCTCATTAATAACAACCAAACGTGTTTTGCACACCCTTTCACGGTTACGAAATATTAAAACAAGTGCAAATTATCTCTTTAAAAGAACAAACTACATGTTACTATTTGGTAGAGTCACATCACCAACATTATTTTATCGTTAAACTTTTATTAATTAATCAAATGTTTAATGACAATTGAACCAATATTCATGGGTATTCAACCTAATTTGATCCAGTCAAAGTGAGTTGAACCCGGTGTTGACGAGTTTTGGATCGGGAATGATTTTTATTCCGCTTTTGTAACACCTGGATTGGGTCGGGTGTGAATTTTGGTAGAATCTCACCCCGCTTTATCAAACCGGTCAAGTGTTGAACCTGGTGTACTCAAATTTTGGCTCAACGCCGTGTTTTGAACATTTAAATCATTGAAGCTTGTAGGAATTTTTGTGGCATTAAGGTTTTCTATCTTTAAGGTTCTAATTAATTAACTTATGACAATTGAGCCCACATCAATGGTTGTTCGACCTACTTCGACCCAGTTTAAGCAAGTTGAACCCGATGTTAACAAATTTTGGCTCAACGTCGCGTTTTTGCACGCTTAAATCATCGAAGTTTGGAGGAGTTTTTGTGCCATTAAGGTTCTAATGTTTGTGCCATTAAGGTTGGTGTTAACAAATTTTGGCTCAACGTCGAGTTTTGCACGCTTAAATCATTGAAGTTTGGAGGATTTTTTGTGCCATTAAGGTTTCTAATTAATTAAGTTTTGACGATTGAAACCAAATCAAATGGCCATTCTAGGGATGGAAAAAATATTTGTAACCGTGGATATCCGCCCGAATTCGAATATTACGGGTAATGTGTGGCCATGATTTTCCCACTATCCAACCCGAACCTGCCCAATTATACACATGCATATGTATTTTGTCTAAAAATTATCATTATTCTTCTCTAACATATTTTATATTTAGCATATAAATATAATATTTTCATGAAATTGTGTTATTTTAATTAATTTTCTTCATTATAGTCAATTATTGTTGTACTTTTCATTTTATGTAATGTGAGAATACGTGTTGGAATTATAAAGAGAAAATAATACCCATGGATAACCGTGGATACCCGAAACCCGAACGGATATGTGCATGTTTTTTATTTTCTACCCGTTTTTGTGTGGGTATGGGTAAAACTCGAACTACTTTGAGCAGGGTAACAGATATGCACTATCCGCCCCCGACCTGACCCATTGCCATCCCTAGGAAATTCTACCTACTTCAACCCAGTTAAAGCGAGTGAAATCGGTTGTTGATGAATTTTGGCTCAACAAAGAGTTTTGCGCTTGAATCATTGAAGTTTGGAGAAGTTTTGGGACATTAAGGTTCTAATTAATTAAGCTATGACAGTTGAACCCAAATCAATGGGTATTCGACCTACTTAAACCCGGTTAAAGGAATTTTTGCACGCTTAAATCATTAGGTATTTTATCTAATTCAACCCGGTTAAACTGAGTTGAACCGATTTACGTAGAGTCACATCACCATGGGTGACTTGCTTGTGTTCGTCCAAAACTTTGAATACCTATTCTAAAATTTACGCTGACAATCTTTCATATCATCTCTTTCCTTTCTTCCCCCTATCTCAAGTTTTTCTCTCTCCCTCTCTCTTCTTCTTCTTTCACCAAAAAACTCCCTCCCTCCAGACTCTCTATCACTGTCTTCTCACCCACCCAACCCTTCTTCCATGGCATTAGCACAAGATGGCGATGGAGATGAACATCATCGTTGACCGTGAGATGTGGGGGAGGGGGGAGAAAGATAAGAAGAAGGTCGATGGAGAAGAAGGAATCGGAAGGTGAAGATGAAGAAGATTGATGTCGGCATGGTTCGAATAAAAGAAAATCCCTCCATTTTTCGTCGGAAGAGAAGAGAAGGGCGAAGAGGCGTACATGTCGCTTTCCTTCCCTCCGCCAAACCCACGTCCACAGTGATCTTCTCACTTTTTTTAATTTGATTTCCAGTTAGGAGATCTATTTGTTTCTCATCTTTTTTTTTTCTTTGTTTATTTGAGGTCAGGACTCTTTCGCAAAATCAGCTCATCACTCTCCCCCTTCTCGATCGCTTCCTCTCTCTTGCTCGAAGAAGAGGAAGAAGAGAGAGACTTCTAAATGTGGTGGTGTTCTATAGTGGCGACGTTGGCAGGACGATGATGTCGAGGTCAAAGATGCGGTTTGGTGGTGCAAGGGCGTTGCTGTGATGTTGGCATTGGGAGACGCAGCAACCGCGAAACCGAACTGAGATAAGCGCCAAGACGTTGGCGATGATGGCGGAGATAAGGTGGTTTCTGTATGGCCTATGTTGCAGTTCTATTTGCTGGCGTGATATTTTTGTTCTGTAATTTGTTGATATTGTTTCATTGCTTTTGTCAGGTTGTTGGATCCTTTTTGGTATCCTGTACTGCTTTCACAAACAACTCCACAAGAGGCTTAGACTTATAGATATTACTAATGGTGAGTACTTTAGTTCGTCTCTCATCTCTTACTGTTCATCTTCGCCTCCTTAACTGTTAAACTTGCAGATGAGATGCTCTCATTTTGCTAGTGTTGTTCATAAACCATGGAGACCAGCACCCATCTTGATTGTCTAATTCCTCCAATTTTTTGTTCTATTGTGTTTTCCACCTTGGTCTCTATGGTTTTGTTAGGTGCAACCAGGTTTCAGCAACTGCGTGAAGGAAGATGATGTCACGTTTCCAGCAACTTATTAACGCATTTGATTACTAGCAGGGGTGTCTTCCACATAGATCTTAAGGTGCTTTGAAGTTCTCCTATTTTAGTTATCACCCACAACTTCTTACTGTAGTAAATTTGTCTGCAAGACTGCAACCTCATTCCTTTCAAATTGTCCGCGTTGGAACGACAAGAAAATCTGTTGTTAGATGCATATAGGAACATCAACGTTCCATATTTTGGTTTGATACCCCTATCACAGCAATTCAGGGTAGTTAAAAGATTCCATGTATTTGTTGTGCCTTTATTTTCCTTTTTGGTTTTGGTATGTTTGGGTTTTTGATTGATTGGTTCCTGCTAATCTTATCAGACTTTTTGCTTTGGTTTTCGGATTTGGACACAAGGTAGGATGAGGGAGGATCTGTCAATGGTGTATATTTTTTAAGGCAGCGGAGGCGACGAGGGTTAGCCGCTGCTCTCAGGTTAAACTTCTTCTTTTTTGGGTTTTGGTTCCGTTTATATTTTCTTTGTCGCCCTTTCTTTGATCTGGTTATGATATGTACATCTTTTTAGTTTGATTTCAGCCAATGGAAGAGGAAGAAGAGGTAACGGTCGATAGTTCCGCCCTTTCCGCTGACGATAACAACAACGTAGCTTGCCCCAAACTGGTGCTCTCTTCTTAATCCTTTACTCAAAATTACCAAGCATTGTAATTCTATTATTTTGCTAACCGTGATTATGATCTTAACGCCTGCGGAAATTAGTCAAATAGGTAGAACTGTTTAGTGGGTTTTTAGCCTTTTGTTTTTTGTCGTGACCTCCATTGAACGTGGCTTAATAGAACTACATTTATGTTTGCAGTCTGATGGGCAAGTGCATGAGAGTTTAATGGTCTAGCCAGGAAATGAGAGTGCGGGTGTGCTAAGTTCTAACTTTATAAATCCCCACACTAATGGTAAGTTGCATTATGACAATCCATCAATTGAATAATTTCTCCTCAGTTAAAAATGATTCATCTAACAAAGCCCCGAGCATTAGTTTTTGAGGGATCATATGCTTGATGTATCGGAGTTTTGCCCTATTATTTTCTCCGTTCCTTACGTAACAGGTTATTTGTATCAAATTGTGAGTGTGAGCAGCAACATTAAATTGGAGGTGTAGCTGAAGCCAAAACCAAACTTCTTACGTTGTTTTTGTATAAACTAATTCTTGCAATCCCTTCCTTTTCCATATGGGTTGTGGCCAAGGACTCAGACCCATTTCTAGCCAGTACAGTTTGTTCCTTTTCTTTTTTGAAAAAAAAATGCATTTAAGCGCCATGTTTGTGTATGTGAACATATGTGTTGTCTGTTTTATTAATTTGACTTCTTATGAAAATTATTCAGGTTCACAGCATAGCATGGCGGCATAAACACCAACAGAAGAATTTCCTACATCAATCCAGCATTTATTCGAGGATCCAACTCTAGGATCAATCAAAAATTTGTTCAGGTTTTCATAAATTAACTACACTCTTTTACTTTCATTCTTTGGACAACTCATTTGTGTCTTTAGGAGCTGCGAGGGTTGGATTGTCTTTAAAGTCTGAATGCATGTTCCACGTAGTGAGATCTATGATGGGCTCGGATAGAATAACAACACCTATAGTGTTGTTACCCTAACAACAAGGACATTATTGTCATTTTACCCCATATTAAAATTCGTAATTCGTAATTCAAAATTAGTAATAGATGCATTGAAGCGTGCGATACCTGTCATTTAAGTTTTCCGCCTTCCCCTCTGCTCACGAACTGCTCTCCGTCGGTTGCTCTCTCCCTGTTCTTGCTATTCTTCCATCTGCATCGAGCGTCCACCGCACACTTCCACTGTGGCTTGTGGATTTCCTTCGCGCGATTCCATCTCCTCCATCGTCGACGTGAATTTTGAGGTATGTCATCCTTTGGTGATTTCCTCCGCTAAACTATCTTCTCCTTTGTCGTCAGTTTGGGCCTCCGCAGTCGTCGTTGTCGTTTGGCGTCGCCGGAGTTCCACTTGTGTCGTGTTAGTTTACCTACACTACTAGCATTGTTGTTGCTGCTATTGAATTTATAACCGTCATTTTTATGTTTACACTCTGTTACTTTCGTTTTCCACTTTTCTGCCATGTTTTCATGCTTCCAGTGTTAATTTGTTGTAGGAGACGAGGAAATTTCGTACCTGTGCGTTCTTGTTAGGTTTTGTTGAATGTTTCTTCACTTTTGTGCTGTGCTTTCCATATTTCATTAGTGTTGTGTTCATTTTAGGGTTTCTTGTTTCTCATGAGTCGTTTGTGGTGGTGTTTGGTAGTTCTGTTGTTTTGTTTTTTATTTCGGTTGTGCGCTTTGTGTTTGCTGACATGTAGGGTGTTTGTGGGTTCGAATGGGGCCTTTGTGGAGGTTTTTAATAAAACTTTCGTGTATTTCCAGGCTGTTGTTCGTGGTTCTTTTAAAAGGTTTTTTGGTTTGTGTTTCGGATTTCACAGTTTGGTTTAGGATATTTACTGGTGTGCATTTGCAGTTGTTTGTGTCCTTTACATTCGATTGTTGAATTGTTTTCACGGTTGTACAGTTTGCATTAGGCCCTTGGTGGTTTGTATTTCAGATCTTCTGGCATTAGATTGCTTATGTTGTGTTTTGGTTGCTTTGTAGCCATGACACCTGCTAAGAAACATGCAGTAAAGGGGAAACAAAAGGAAAAAGTTCCAACACCTAAGCGAGAGAAAGTTGGTGTTTCTCCTGTGCCTGGAAAGCCGGATAAGAGGCATCGTCGTAATACTAATCGGATTCTTGCTATCATGAATGTTGAAAGTACGAATGAAGAAAAACTGCAGATACTTGATCCTCTGGGTTTTAGGGGTGTGTCGAGGGCTAACCTGACGAGACTCCCGGATAATTTTACTGAATGGCTTTGCAAAAGTTTTTATGTCAGTTCAAGGTCTTTCCCAATGCTTCGGTCAGGGAAGTTCAGAATTGGAGGGGCATATGTGGAGAGAGTCTATGGTTTGCCGCGTGGACCGTATGATGTTCAGTTGGATATGTTCAATTCAAACCAGAGGCACAAGTGGGGAATTAACTTAGGGCTTCCCAACACTAGGAAAGGAAAGGCGACATTGGCGAACGTTAAACTCGCATTGGAAGAGGAGAAGGACAACAAGAAGTGGAAGGATTTTTTTGTGTTGTATGCAATGGAGGCAGTTCTGTGTCCCAGTGGAAATTTGAAGGTTAACCTCTCTTATGTTAGGTTTTTGCAAGATGAAATGGTAGCTGACTTCAACTAGTATAATTGGTGCAAGCATGTGACTGACCATTTCAATGAGAGTATGGTTGAAGTGGTTCAATAAAAAACAAAGTTCCTTGGTGACGTTCATCTTCTTTTTATAAGTAGATAAATATACCTCTTTTTGAATTTTGGTTTACTGTTTCATTTATGGTTTGTTTATTGAGGAATGTGGTGTGGTTGAAGATGTTTACGGTTTGTTTAAAAATATTTATGGTTTGGTTTTTCCCCTCTGTTATAATGTTTTTGGTATAGTTTCATTTATGGTTTGTTTATTAACGAATGTAGTGTGGCTGAAGATGTTTATGGTTTGTTTAAAAATATTTATGGTTTGGTTTTCCCCCCTCTGTTATAGTGTTTCTAGTATAGTTTATCATTTATGTGGTTTGTATTATAATCTTTCTGTCATAGTTTGTGGTTGTTAGACTTCTGTTTGTATATGTGTCAGATTTCTATTCTTGACCGTTTGAAGAACCCCCATGAGTTGCCTATGCCGATCTGTAGGCACATGTCGTACAAATTCACAAGTGCTGCTTTTCAAGTACTGATGGACGAATGCCATCTCTCTATTGGTTATCAATATGTAGTGGAGGAAGAATAAGCAACCTCCAGTCAACCAATGGGACGAGGACGTGTGAAGGGTACAAAGAGGAAAAGGGCGATGGATGATCTTGATATGGTGAGGGAAGGGGATCTTCCAAAGCTGCCTCATCTTGACATCAACTTGAATGGTATTCATTCAGTTGAAGATGTGAGTGATTTTGCTGTGTTATTCGTTTTATGGATAGTGGTTTGCATTAGTTTGTTTAAGAAATACTTTATTTTATTCATGTGCTGGTTAGTTGTGTTTTCTATTGTTTGTTCTATGGGTTGCTTTAGTGTACTTGTGGTTTCTGTTAAAAGAATAGTGGTTTGCATTACTTCGTTAAAGGAATACTTTATGGTATTCATCGTTTGGTAGCTGTTTTTTTGTGAGAATTCAAACATATGTGGTTTGTATACGTGTGTTTCAGGTGTTCATTAAAAGGAATGTGAGATTCTTTAGAAGGTTTATGGTTTACTTTTGGGCTGTTCACTAACTTCGGCTGTTTTTCGTGTTTTTGTAGGCATATCAGTTGAAGAATGACATGGAAAATTATAAGAGGGTTTTGTTGAGGATGACTAGTCATTACAGTGCCAGCATTGAACAAGTTGATGACCATATAAAGATGCTGGAGGGGCAGCAACCAGAGGATAGTCCTGAAGATAATGTTGATTTCACTGATAGTGTTGAGTATGTTGCTGTTGGTAAGGGAACTAATGATGTCAGTCGCAATGCAGATGTCGGTCTCAATGCATCTGCTGCCGATGCTGATGATGAGACTGGTGCTAACAGAGTATCAAATCCAAAGGTCCCGGGCCTTGATGATTTGACAATGGAGATGGATAAGGATGGTGTTTGTACTGCTGATGATGGTGGTAAGGAAAGCAAGGACATGTCTCCAAATGTTGGTCACAATGATCCTGCTGGCACTGCTAATGATGATACTGCTGCTAAGAGAGTATCAGATCCGAAGGGGCTTGATGATCATCTTGATGATCTGACAATGGAGATGACAGAAAAAATGTTGATTCTGAGAATGCTAAGAAGGTTTGTGCTCCTGGCAGTGTTTCTCAGATGGATAGCTGTGAGGAAAAGGGACAAGGTGATGATGGAGATGACAATGTTGATGGTGTTGACGCTGCTAAGTTGGGTAACTTGGTTGAAAAGGTCATAAAGGTATTTTAAGTGTTTTGTGTTTGAATATTTGTGGTGTGGATTATACTGTTTTTGGTTTGTTTGTCATGTCTTTTGTAGTAGGTTGTTTTGCATTTGTTAGTAGTGTGGTTTACATATATCTGGTTTTGTTAAAAACTTTTGTGCTGTGGTTTCTGTAGTCTGCTATGGGGGGTGTTCGTGAAAATGTGGAGGTTGATGCCAAAAGGAAAGAAGCTGATGCTAGTGAGGTGCTTGAGGGTGATGACGATAGTGCAGATTTACCATTGAGTCAGCTAATTCAGAGACTTAGTAAGGAAAAGGTAATTTATTGTACAGTGTTCCAGTTTTAGTTTGTTTTTGTAGTGTGTTTTTATCACATTTGTGATTTGTTTTAGTTGTTTTTTGTGCTGCTTTATCTAATTTGTGGGTTTCTTTAAAAATCAGAAAATATTGAAAGTGAAGAATGCTGGAGGGTCATCAGGTGTCGATGATGATGTGTTGAAGTGTGCTGTGTTGCGATATGCAAGGGATTCGAGTAAATTGTAAGTTACTGTGTATAGATTTCATACATATGCGGTTGTTTGTATATATTTTTATATATAGTGTTTATTAATACTTTTCTAATGCCGACTGTTTTGTTTGTTATGGAATTATGAAAAATAGGAAGGAATTCCTTTTTAGTCGCGTTAATGGATACGATTGCTTGTACAGAAAGGACACAGAGACTTTGGCACATGGGCAATGGGTGAGTGTAGATGTTGTTGACTGCTATTCTGCCTATCTGAGTCGGGAGCAAGTGAGAAGCGGGAAACTGAAAAGATGGGTGTTCTATACTGGGCTGGAGGCGAGTTACATTTTCTGCTAGTTCTGGTTTGTTTTAGGATTTTTGTGGTGCGCATTATAATACGTCTGGTTTGTTTTACTGTGTTTCTGGTGTGTTCTACTTTGTAGCAAAAAGTGCAAACGATACTGCTAGAGTCTGGACAACTGCCTAATTTTTTGAAGAGAGTGATGAAATTATGTCAAATTGCAAGTGGATACTAGATGATTTGGACTTCTCACAATGTGATTTTGTATGTATTTTTTTAGTCACATTTGGTACATTGTTTCATGTGTTTTTTTTTTCATTGTGCATTTGAAGTACTAACTTGTTTTTGTTTTGTACTGTCTAGTGGATGTTCTCACACTGGTTTGATGGACACTACAGGATGTATGTAGTGAAACTCAAGAACAAACTGTACGATTATCTTGAAAGCCTTTACCCTGAAGAACTTGATTCCAAGTTGCGTGCTGTTGCAGATATGGTGGTCTGCTATGCCACAGAATACATCCCTGCCTGTCGACGAGAGGCATACATATTTGAAGAATTTAAGTGGGTTAGAATGCGAGGGTTCAGACAACGTGGTGGGTTGACTGTGGTGTTTTTATTATGAATTTTGTTGAGTTTTGGGAAGGCAAATTGGTGTCACCTATGAAGAAGTGGCAAAAAGAAGTCAAGCAGAGGCGGGATGAGATCACATTAACATTGTTGCTGAACAAGGAGAACAGTTTACTTAAAGAGGTAAAGAAGAAGAGTTTGGAGTTTGATCGCAAGGAGGACTAGTTGATTTTAGGATGTAGTTGCTATGGGATTTGTATGATAAGCAACAGTTTCATATTTCAGTGTGTTAATATGTGTTTCTATGCCTGAACAGTGACAATTGTATTAACAGATTGGTAATGGTGTTGATTAAGGCTTTTGTGTTCTGTATCTGAAGTGTTGGTTCGATTAAGAAGAATTGTGGATTGTTTAACGGGTATTGTAGTGTGGTTCATAAGGTTTATAGTTTGTTTCTTTTCCCCAGGGTTTTTACAATGTATGGTGTGTGTTAGTACATACATGGTTTGCTTAATGAGTGTTCTGGAAAGTTTCCATATGTTTGTGGGTAGGTTTTGTTAAGTAGGTTTTGTAGTTTGTTTTCTTCGTGTATGGTGTGTATTATAAGACAAGTGGATTGTTTAACGGGTATTGTAGTGTGGTTCATAAGGTTTATAGTTTGTTTCTTTTTCCCAGGGTTTTTACAATATATGGTGTGTGTTAGTACATATGTGGTTTGCTTAATGAGTGTTCTGGAAAGTTTCCATATGTTTGTGGGTTGGTTTTGTTAAGTAGGTTTTATAGTTTGTTTTCTTCGTGTATGGTGTGTATTATAAGACAAGTGGATTGTTTAACGGATATTGTAGTGTGGTTCATAATGTTTATAGTTTGTTTCTTTTCCCCAGGGTTTTACAATGTATGGTGTGTGTTAGTACATATGTAGCTTGTTCTGCTGCATCGGTGTTATTATTTGTTCAAATATTATCAAAACCTGAAACTGTTCATATTTGTCTCACAATTGTCATTCAAATCTAAAAGTTTATGACAGTTAAAAAAACATGGATAACAACTAGGACTAATCACTTATTGTTTCTTTTGTAACGCTTGTTAGCAGTCTGTTCATCAATTCTTTGCTTTCTAGCCCTCTCTAGCGCCATCTCAAGTCCACCTCTTGACCTCTTCTTTGATTTCCATGGGTCTAGTCAAGCCTTGAATCCCTTCAGATTGGCATACTTGTCATTCGTAGCTGAAGTAGCAGCGCTTAGTGAGGGTGATGTACTGGTGGTTCCAACTGTTGAACAAGCAACATGCAAGGTAAGACGTTTGTTTCATTTGATTGATTCAGATGTTATTGGTTTGGATTAGATCATTAGTGGTTTGGATTAAACAATTACTGGTGAACATAAGTAGGGATGCTAACAAGATGTGTGAAATTACCAGGTTCTGTTTGTTGAATTCCTTGAGTCTGAAGGCCTTGGAAAGCTAGTTTAGTGAGCTCTGCTATCTTTTCCTTAACCATTGAGAAGACATTGTCATGCATTGGGACTTTTGTTGCTAGGATAACCATGCGAGCCCACATTTATTGATACCTCCCTGCATTAGTATCTGTTGCAGCATATTCTATTGTGTTTATTGTGAACTTCTCTCCAGATTTGGCATCTCTCGTCCATCGTGCCAGAATGTATTCCTTAGGGATATTCAATTGATTTTAGGAATTTTACCATCCATGGCTAGCTGTGCATTGTGGGAATTTTACCTGATTTTTCTTTTGAGCTTCTCATGGTTCTCAATTCTCATTTCACATTTTCTGGGTTTGCTTCTGTTTATTACAGCCAGATGAAACATTACTTGGTTATAGATGTAGCCTTCACTTGAGCCAAATGATTATTTGGGTTCATGTTTGCCTTGTCTAATTCATCTCATGAGTTTTCATTCTTTCATCGCCTATGCCACTTGGTTTAACCAACTTAATGATCGCTCTTGGAGAAGGATTGGCCGTGAATAAAAGTGCATTTGCAGTAGTTGTAGATGAGTTTTTTTAGCCCACTATTGTGATTGTCTCCAATTTTGGTTACGACGAGAAATAGTTAACTCAGCAGAATGAAGTAGTGATTCCAATTTGTGGCAATTGTCAGAAAGAGATGAACCTGTGGGAGCTTCTCAAAGTTAAGGTTCATTGGACGGTGAGCCCATTTTGTTGCTGTTTGTTTTAGTTTGCAACCATAACAGCAAATGCAGGAGTTGTAACTGCAGCACATCAACATAAAAAGTAAGGCAGCTACAGCAGAAACCATACGGCTAGCAGAAATAGCAACAATACAATGATCCAGCATTGCAGAGGAGCTCAAATCTTGACAAATAAGAGCATGGTAATTCACTAGGACCCTTGAGAAGCTTTTTTTTTCTTTCTCAACCACACAATTCAATTAATGCATATATGTTGTAATTCTGCATTTTCTAGTTACTTTTATTATCCATCCTTAGGATTGAGAGATCGGAAAGAAAGGTCGATGTAGGGGTGTAGATACCGAGTTCATTCAAAGTGTTTGTATTGAACTAAAAATGCTTAGATATCGAGAGTATAGGGATCGATGACTAACTTTAGGTGTTCTCCAACTTGTTTAGTCTGGTAGTCAAATAGTCTCGGGTAGGACAGTGTTATGTTCTAATTGGGTGCTCGTGAACTGTTGTTAAACTAATTATAATGTGACTACATTAGCGAACTGATGATTACAATTCTACCTCACTATGCCTTTTATGAAGAAATGTCAGTCTAAGCCATTGGGACGTGTTAGGTAGGCTACGGTTACCATAACTTCATAAACTTAATAATCCAGTTGCGTTTAATGATTTGGAGTTTATGATTTTTTACCATTATTTTTGTTTGCTGCAATCACTTCAGGAGGCACTTGATTTCTTCCCGGTGGGGTGCAAAGGAGTAGAGCAGTACCAACAAGAGATGAATGAAGTTGAAATATGTACAATGAACAAAAATTACTCAGGCTTTCTCCATAAGTGTTCTAAGTGTGCTTCGGTTCTTTGCTCCTTTCTCCGTCCTTTCTGTATTATTTTATTAGGCCATGTGTTCTCTATTGTTTTCTATTTAGAGAATATATTTCCTTATATCATCTATGTAATGTTAACATTACAAAATCAGCTGTAGTTCCTCTAATGTATGTTTATGCTTCTAAATTGAATACTATTTTGGACTTCTTTCTCTATTAACAGTAGTGATACTTGCATAGTCTTTAGAAATTTAGACTTCATATTCAATTCTCAACTCTTGCGAAGCGTAGCGAGCGGGTCATACTAGTTCCTATAAATTTGTATTTGCACTTGATGTTGCAAACCCCCTCCATATTATCCAAAAAGAGTTTACATTGAAGATAAGTTCAAACAAAACAATCTATATACATCTAAAAAAATATCAAAACTTAGATATTTATGTCTTTCATTCACGAATATGTAATGGTAAAGTTAAAAAAATATATTCTATATATATGCGAGTATGTTTTATATTTAAATATCTTTAGTTTTATGTTAAAATTTTCTTCCCTTTCTTTTGTTAAGAGTTGGATGACGAGTCTCTAGTGAAAATTTTCTTCCCCTTGCTTTTCAAAAACAACCTTAAAAAAATGGCCGAGGAAAAACAAAACCAAGATAATAAAATCTCTTTCTATTTTTTTTAATTGATATTCATTTTTCTGTTTTATTATTTCAATATCACATAACAATTATTGTTTTTTATACTTTGTTAGACGACTACAGTGTAAGACTAGATAGCGAAACTCTTTTACATGTTTCCTACTTTTTAAAACTAAAACCTTATAAGAATTAATTGTGTTGTTGTTTCAATATTATATTATCTATTTTTTATTTTATACTTTATTAGAAAACTATTACAGATGATCTAATAGTGAAACTTTTTTGCGTGTTCCCTGATTTTCGTACAACTTGTTGCACATATTCATTACAATTAGATAGATGAATAGCAAGAAATCAATTGTGTATTTGTTTTTATGTTTTTTGTGTTAAAACTAAAACCTTATATAAATTATTTATGCAAGCTGATTAATTTTATCAAGGTATCTCGAGACAAATGTTAAGAACTTTTTCTAGAAATTATTATTCTTACTTGTTGGAATTTTATGCTTTAGATCTATCACATTTTTCATTTGAAGGTACAGATCTCATGGCTGTAAATGAAATCTAAGAACTCATCAGAGAGTTCAAAAGACAACTCGATAACCTTAAAAACTTACCAAAACTCTTAAAACCTCCAACTTGCGGCCTTTGCCATTTGTCTGAGCTGCCCTATAAGTATCTAATTGATAATTAGACCAACAAACTAACAAAGTACCAGCATTGAATTATAACTCTTTGCATCGTTA